AAAATTCGTACTCGCCATGGCGACCTGTGATTTGTCAAGCCCTGTTTTAATGTTTGTGGACCCAAGGTAAGAAGTCAAACGATTCTAAGGAAGTTTAACTCTTTGCAATGCCAGCACTCTGCAGTGGTCATGGTGTTTTTTCCTGTAAAATTGGGAACTTATGCTGAAGCAATATAGAAAGAAATGGCATGATTGAATAAAATTACTTTTCTTTTTCCATTTCTCTTTTTTTTCGACTATGTGAGAAATTATGGTTACTAGAAGTTTTTCTCTTGTAAAATCTTCTGATTAGAGGTTAAGAAAATATTATGTAGTGATTTTGCAAGTTTCGATGGAATATTCTACCTCAGATGTGTAAGCTGTAACCTGCTTTATAAAAATAAATAAAATAAATTAACTAAATAAATCAAATAACCAGGAAAAAAGGTTCAAATTACTGTGCTGACATGCAAAAATGGTTACAATATTGCCTGGCCTAATAGCTAGCAATATCAGCCATTTTTTGCAATGCCAATTCTAAATTGTCAAAATTAGAGTACCAAATATCTGGATTGAAAATAATTAGTAAGTGAGAGAATTTTGTATAATGACTGGGTAATCTTTTTTCTTTTGCTAAAAAAATAAATAAATAAATAAATAAATAAATAAATATATATATTTATTTTTTTTTAAACTCAGAATAGTATAAAAACATTGCGTCAAAAAATAATCTAGAGTCACAGTTTGGCAATATAGGCTAGAATATTTTCATTCGGATTTCAGATCACTGCATTCACAGTTTGTAAATAACCCTGAAAATCTATATCAAACATTAGGCAAGAACCTCTATAGTCTGGATATTGCGGCCTATTACAATTTGAAAGTCATTCTGAATTCATGACAATTCACACTTTAGTGAACTCCCCAGAGAGGTTAACTATCAAACTGGTGATTGAAAATAAAATTCTAATCCAAAATATTATAATTAGAAAAACCCATCTTAAACATTGCTATTTTTACAGCTCATCTATGTAGCCCTGGAAGGCTCACATTCCTTGTCATTTATGTGCAGTTAAGTGAATGACCCCCATAAACATGTTTTGCAATGTAAGAGATACAGCAACAAGGCTTAATATCCTGCAATACACTACAACCACCTTCCCCACCCAATTCACCAATAAATACACCCATCCTGAAATAAACAAATATCTGTCTTTTTATCAGTCTTTATAATGTTGCACTTAGTAGCTCTATACATGACAGAGGCTTTAGAGAGGATTAGTGGAATCTGCTTTGTGACAGCACAGCAAGTACACAAACCTGTGTTATTATTTGCCAACACAACTGTGATAGGTAAACATACTGAATATCAGTGACATGCAGGTTATCATATCATGAAATAAATGGAATTACCTTCCTTGCCGTTAAGGGGTTAATAAAGCATTGAACTTGTCTTTCCTCCCCAAACACAGCTTCCTTGTTGCAGTGCGCCTCCCCCTGCTGTCTATAGGCACCAATAGCGGGTGGATACAATGTGACAGCTAGGTATCTGCGTGGAACTCACCCAAACACAGCATGCAACAGGAGCAGAACCAGGCCCCCCCGTGTCACCTCCCAGGCTGGCCGCCTCTCACTTGTTGCTATGATGAGCAGAGAGCCAATTCATATAGGCACAGCCAAGGCTGCAGCAGCAGGGCCAGTGAACCAGGTTTTCACCCAGCAGCTGTTCCACGCCTTCCAAAGCTGAGGATAGAACTATTAACCCTTCCTCGGCCACTAGGGATTCCAGCTGAGGTCCTGCAGGGTATAATGGCTATGGGTGGGCTGCTTACTGGCAGATCAGGGCCTGACTTGTGGAGCTGCAAGTTTGTAAGACCTAAAAGCAAGACCTGCGCTGGGTGTCAGAGCTGCCTCTGCTGGGAGCAATCAGAAATGCATGGCAGACAATGCTGGGTGCTCTTATTATCATAACAACTCTTATTTATATAGCGACAATTTGTTCCGCAGCGCACTGTAGGCACCCAGACCCCTTCAGCTCATTGAAGTGGTATGGGTGCGGTGTCCCTGTCCCCAGGGACGTATTAGCCGCGAGGAAAACAAGGCATTTGCCTTGGGCGGCACTTTCAGGGGGCAAAAGCGCCCCAAAATGCCCAGGAAAATGTCTTGTTAGCCTAGCGGCTAACTGACAGGGCGGGCGGTGCTGGCGAGGGAGCACTGATTAGTGAGCTCTCTGCTCAGCTCCCTCGCGCGCCGCAGAGTGATGCCGGGATCCGGAATATCATAGGAGGATCAGTGCTCCCTTGCCGCCTGCAGTCACCAGCAGCCCCACTGGACCCCAGGGAAATGAGAATCCACCCCAGCATTCCCAAAGGTAAGGATTGAATAAAAAAAAAATAAGTGTTAGTGTGTGTCTGTTAGCTAGTGTATGTGTGTCTGTCAGTGAATGTGTGTGTGTGTACTTAGAAGGCGGGGAGGTGGCGGGGGAAGGGAGGGCGCCTGAGTTTTGTCATGCCTAGGGCAGCACAAAACCAGGATACACCACTGCCTGTCCCCTTAATCCTGCAATGTAAATCATCACAGTTTTTGAGAAACTAAATGTTTACATTGCAGTACTAAGACTGCCTTTAGAGGGGCTTCCCGGAAGTTTACCAGATTCTGGGTTCCCTAAATGACGCTAGTGAAATCCGCATGAGGCAATGCTTTTCCAAGGGGAGGGCCTAATGCGCTTGCAGATGAGATAGGAGGAGGCGGAGCGCTGACCCAGCCCCAAGGGAGATGGCGCTGGAATCGGGTGAGTAAATTAAAGGGGTTTATAACCCTTTACCTGCTGGAAGGGGGAATTTGATACAGATTTGTATTCATAACATTATAGAACCTGTTAAAAATAAATGAGACAACTACAAAATGTTACAAGTACAATAAGTTGATGAAGACCCTGTTCGAAAGAGCTTACACTCTAGAGATTTAAAGCAGGAGTGTTCAAGGAGATTTAAAATGGACTCTCTCGCTATCTTGTTTTTTAATATATAAAACACAAAGTATATAAGAAATGGCAGTATGCTTGTACAACTTGGTCTGCCGGATCATATAGAAGATGGGTAACACGGATAATGGGCCTCCCTGCCTTTCATTTGCTCTTGGAAGTAAATTGTTTTATTAATCACCAAGGATCTCAAAAGTACTACCTTTATAATTATACATTATTATTTGCCTCTAGCAGCGTTTTGGACTTACATCAGGGCAGCACTTTTCATGCACAGCGAGGTGACATGATAATTGTCAAATAATGTTATCAGGGGCATTTGCACGTCTTTTATTTTTATTTATTCTGTTTTTTAACATGCTGCTATGGTGCCTTTGCTGTTTTGTGCAGAGCGCCTCCTGATGTTTTGGATAATTACAGGACCAAATTAGGAACATGCCTAATGTAAATTTTAAAAATCAAGGGTAGCCCCTAAAAATATTTCTAATTTCTCAGCTAAACTAAAGGCTAAACAATCTGTGCAGAAGATTCTCTGTCTACACTGCTCCTTACACATCTGGCAGACACATTGATGCAGAACTATTGTGGTGGAATCTCGGTAAAAATAAATTTAGTAGGCCGAGATTACCACGTGGCATGTGTACGTGCATATGCTGACGTATCGATCAGTTGGTTGCACGAGGCAAGATACGATCAGTAGTGTACGGAGCATGTGCAAGAATACAGGATGTAGTATTCCCCTCCTCCATTGTGCTGGACAAGCCATGCGGTCAAGCAGGAAGTTAATTCTTATTTGTAATGATTGGTCAAGAGAATGTGCGGGTGGAGTTTAATATGGGAGGAGTTATGTGCCTATATAGGGAGCCTGCACTATTGTTCAGGGCTCAGAACTTGATGTATTTTTGGTGACATTAGTCCCTCTGAGTCCCGATCGGTGATCCAATAAAGAATCTCTTCCTTCCTGAAGAAACCTGTGTCCATCCCTCTGTGCTTTGCTTCCGTCAGTTTCTCCGGTATCATTTGGTGCATTGGCCGGGAAGCTCATCGTTCAACGGTAGCTGAGAGGCAGAGGCGTGAGACGGTCTATCTTTGCCCACGTTCTCTACGGCTGCACCCCTGAACTTCTGCGTGGACCTCCCTTCGTCTCGGCGCCACTGGTCTGTTGTCCAGGAGATCATCGGCCTCTACGTAAGAAGTGCTGGGGTGTCCCCGTCGATGAGTGTGAACTCAGGTTCAGGAACGAGGAGGTAAGACAACTGCTGTTTTAGACGGCAGACCCACTAGGGGTATACCGATTGTGCGGTAGGCCCAAAAGGGGTTTAAATCTGTGTATGGAATCTGCCCCCTCTGTCGGAGGGAAGGAGCGAAGGCGCACCGCTCGATCGAACGCTCTTTAGTAAGACCGTTTGATCTGGTTAGTCAGGCGGGGTCCTGTGTAAATAGCCCTAGCCGGACACCGGTGTCTTGTCTAGACTAGCGTTCTAGGGTGTATATTACGTTCGCTAGGTCGGAGGGACCGGGAGACTAAGCGGCGCCTGTGTAAATTCGGTTCGCTAGCTCTCAACCTATCTTGGCTAAGTGGGAAGGCGTGTAAATTTGGAACCCACTAGACTTTTGATAGAGTAAATAGACTAGAAGGGCAATTTTGTAAATTTCGCCCTCTAGTTCGCTATATGTGGTGTTTGGGCAGTGTGGCTAACCAAAACGGGTGTATATAGTTTTAGGTAGTCCATTCAAGGTACTGGCCAATAGTTTAGTTGGGATTGTAAATGTGTTAAAGATTGTTAGTAAAGTGTATATCTTGTTAGATAGCGCGAGCTCAGCCGTCTAGCGAGAGTGTTAATAGTGTGTTGCTGTATCATAGTGCACGGTACCATAACCCTGTATATTTACTGACACTGTATATAAGTACTAATCATTGTCGTCTATTGCATGTTTAACACCGTAACCACTAATAATTGTATTGTGACCTTAAATTGTGCTTTGACCTATGCTAACCGTACTGTAACCGATACTAGTAAAAGACGATGTTACTGGGGTGTGTTATAGACGGGTAATTCATATATAGAGAATTATAGCGTGGGTGACTGTATAGTTTCGCCAAAGGGCATAATATTGATTATTTAGTGACTGGTGTAACAGCTGTGTGTGTACGGGAATTCCCTGAGTGATTATTGTGTTATTGTGTACGTTTCACTCGGTAACTGTACCACGTGGTGCTGTTGCCAGAGGAAACGGGTGTGACTGTTGAATAAGAACGCGTGCATAGTATTCGTTGTCAACGACGTTCCATTGATAAGTATGGGCGCGTCAGAGTCAACGATTTCGGATCCCTTAGGTTGTATGGTAAAGAATTTTAAAAAGGGATTCAAAACATGTGATTTTGGGGTTAAAATGTCTCCTGTACGTTTGGTCACTTTGTGCACTAGGGAGTGGCCTATTTTGGTTGCGGCATGGCCGCCGCGTGGCAGTTTGGATCCAACCCTGGTACAGCGTGTACACGTGGCTGTGTCAGGTAGGCCTGAACTTTACGGACAGTTTCCATACATTGATTGTTGGGGGCAGGCCGTAAACGACTCGCCAAAATGGATCCGGATATGCCACGAGGAGCAATGTCGCCTCATGGTGGCCAGGACTTGTTTGTCCACTAGGACTGGTGTTAGGCCCATTTTGGACACGCCCCCTGAGTCCGAGATCCCTTTGCCGCCCCCTTACTTTCCTTTAAGAGGAAGTGACGCGAATGCAGGAAGTTCTGCACCCTTCCCCTATTGCCCCCATCCACTTCCGCTTCCTCCTCCAGTACAGAATCCACCCCCCCTCGTATTAAAACTCCCCTTCCGGAACCAGGACCAACCCCCATTAGATTTGAATATCCTGATTTGGCGCCACTTCAAACTTCCGGTCAAGCTTCTTCTAGCTCGGCTCGGAGTATACTATTCACTAACTTTCCCCAAAATCAAGTTCCCACATCCTCATGCCCTATTACCTCTCGACCGGAACCTTTAACTGATGCCCCTCCACGTAGCCCCATACTAACCCGACAACTGACCGGTACCCAACAATTAAAACATTATCAGATGCCTCTTCGTCTGAATCCTGGGTCAGCCTATATCGATGCCGCAGGTCAAATGGCACATGCTGACCCAGTCTTTGTATATGTCCCGTTCACGACTACCGATCTCTTGAATTGGAAGACCCACAATTCCTCGTACACTGAGAAACCACAAGCTATGACCCATCTGTTCACCTCGATAGTTCAGACACATAACCCGACATGGGCTGATTGCCAGCAGTTATTAATGACATTGTTCAATAATGAGGAAAGGACAAGGATTAAACAAGCGGCCATTAAGGCGCTAGAGAGAGCACGTGCTTTAAATCAAGCCAATCCGGCAGCATGGGCCGCAACACATTACCCTAACACCGATCCTGACTGGAATGTAAATGGCGCAGATATGGCTCAACTTAAAGCCTATAGAGATGCTATAATTGCTGGCATGAAAGCCGGAGGGAAGAAAGCTATTAACATGTCGGAGACAGTTGAGGTGATTCAGAAAAGTGATGAAGCGCCCAGTGTCTTTTATGACCGATTATTGGAGGCATACCGCTTGTATACCCCCTTTAATCCGGAAGACGCTGATAATTCCCGAATGGTAAACTCCGCCTTTGTCAGCTAAGCTTACGGAGATATTAAGCGCAAGCTACAGAAATTAGAAGGGTTTGCAGGTATGTCTATCACTCAACTAATGGAGGTAGCGAACAAAGTATATATGAATAGGGAAACAGAAAGTAAGAAAGAGGAAGAGCGCAAGATGCGTAGAAAGGCAGATATGCTAGCGGTAGCGATCGCAGGCGTAGATAGACGGGGCCCGGATAGAGGCGATGGTAGATGGAATAGGGAGCCTTTGAGTAGGAATCAGTGCGCGTACTGTAAGGAAGAAGGGCATTGGAGGAACGAGTGTCCGCAAAGAGAGCAGTATGAGGGAGACTTACCCAGGGCAGGTTACGGAAACTTTAGAGGCAGAGCGAGAGGTAGAGGAGGCCCCGGAGGGAGTAATGGTAATAGAGGGAGTAATGGGAACAGAGGAAGTGTAAGGGAAGATAGGTACTATCCAGCAGCAAAGGTCCCGCGATAGAGAAGGTAGGGACTTTGTGGGATTGGCTGACACGGTCATGGAGGACTATTGATACCGACCGGGCTCCATCCCCCTTGGTCGAGCGGAGCCTATGGTCGATGTATCAATAGGGGGAAAAAGGAGTGCGTTCATGATCGACACTGGTGCTGAACATTCGGTGGTGACTAATCAAGTTGCTCCTCCATCTGGAAGAACTATTACCGTAATAGGAGCAACTGGAAGAAGTGCTGAAAAACCGGTTCTTAAAAGTCGACTCTGTACATTGGGAGGCCACGTAGTAAAACATCAATTCCTTTATATGCCTGAGTGTCCAGTCCAATTGCTGGGACGTGATATGCTATCCAAATTACAAGCGCAGATTACGCTCCTACCAAATGGAACAACATCCTTAAAGTTTAATGGACCCTCAGGTATTATGACATTGTCCGTACCAAAGGAAGAAGAGTGGCGACTTTATACAGTGTTGACTAGCCAAAACCCGAGGAGTGAAGAATCCTTATTTAACATACCAGGAGTTTGGGCAGAGAACAACCCACCAGGACTGGCCCGCAATATTCCACCTATTAAAATCGAACTAAAACTTGGGGTTTATCCAGTAAGCTTGAGACAATATCATATTCCGCAGAAGGCTAAGAAGAACATCCAATCTTATCTGGATAAGTTCATACGGTATGGTATCCTAAAATTCTGTACTTCCCCCTGGAACACCCCATTGCTGCCTGTTCAAAAGCCCCGTACAGATGAGTATCGACCTGTGCAGGACTTGAGAGCAGTCAATGATGCGGTTGTTAGTATACATCCAGTCGTGCCCAATCCATATAACCTGCTTGCTTTAATTCCGGGCGGGGCTACTTACTTTACAGTCTTAGATCCCAAAGATGCCTTCTTTTGCCTCCGAATTGCCGCAGAAAGCCAATGTATCTTCGCTTTCCAATGGGAAAATGCTGTAACGGGCTCGAAACGCCAAATGACCTGGACAAGATTGCCCCAGGGGTTTAAAAATTCACCTACCCTATTTGGCTCTAAGTCAAGATCTACTAGATTTCGAGTCTATCCCAGGAGAGTGTGTATTATTACAATATGTAGATGACTTGTTGATAGCAGCAGTTACAAAGGAAGTATGTCAGCAAGCAACGCACGTTCTACTACACATTCTCTGGAAGGCAGGATACAAGGTGTCAAGAAGGAAGGCTCAGTTGTGTTTGCCAACTGTCAAATATCTGGGATTCCATATCTCTGAAGGTCAAAGAATTATGGGGCCAGAGAGAAAAGAAGCTGTGTGCCAAATACCTATACCCAGGAATAGAAGACAAGTGCGAGAATTCTTGGGGGCAGCAGGCTTCTGTAGGATATGGATTCCCAGCTACGCGATACTGGCAAAACCTCTGTATGCAGCTATCAAAGGTACAGAGCACGACCCTTTCTTATGGACTCAAGAACAGCAA